AGATTACCGGGTGTAACCGTCGCGAGATTAGCGGGACTACCACCCATAAGTAGAGGACCTCACTCCGCGATCAGGTACGATTTTTTCTGACCTCGAACTAAACTGGGAATCCGACCTATACTGACTTGATCGTCGGAGTGCTCACCTTTTTGTGCAGGTCCGCCCAAGTATTCAGATCGGTCCGGAGGCCGAGTTCGAGCTACAATCAGAAATATACTGTTGTGCATATCCTTGCATAAACAATTAATGTAGCTGTCCATGGTCAAAATATGGTTCTAAATTTCTTTCCCATGGGTTTAACGGTATTAAAATCATCACTCATATTGTTCCAGTTTCCCCAATAATAGCTCCAAACATGATTTGCAAGGGTGAACTTCTTATTGTTGATGCAGGATTTGGACCCATAATCGCAATGCAAAAAGTAGTACCAAGCCTATTTTGACCTTCATATCTCGAAACTGATACTGTGCTAAGTCCAACATATTTTGATGCCTAAATCCGACAATAAGTTCAGTTGAGTGTAACAAAAAGTAAGATTGTGAAAACGTAACTCACGCACAATGTCTGATCTTTTCCTATATAAAGAGTGAGTCTTCTTTACTCTCAACGGTGGATAAGTTGAGCAAGTATCATATATTGAGGCTTGAGGCTCATATAGGTGATTTCCCATCTTGGATCGATGGACTATCTTGACCAATATGGGTGGTTCATTGCTTCCTTAGACTCATTCCAAATAAATAACCCTATAAGCTAATTTCACCCATAATACCCCTACAATCCATACATATTACCATGTCTTACATCCAAACCACATTTTTGGTCAAAACTTAGGCCCCATGCAATTTATTTCCCAAACCATATTTTATACACATAATCAAACCAATTTCCTCCCCACTTATTACTCCCAACCAAAACACACATACACATACACCAATCACAAACTTCCATATATAACATATTATATGAACACATTTACTTTCTTTTCAACTCAAAAGTCATCCCTTTGCTTTCTTCCATTCAACATCATTCAATGGCTTCAATTCTGGGCATTCCTCGAACAATCTCCTTATAAACTCAACCACATCAACAAACTATAATCTTCGATCGAGCCCTCCGGCCATGGTGGAAACCGAGCAAGCTCGACCGTTAGCCTCGACCTC